TTTTCACAGGAGTGAGGCGAAGGGTGACCTTGTTATGATACAGACGCTGCTGCTTTTCAAATGTAAAGTACTATGTTATCATGCTAACTAGATACTAGTGTCTATCACAACAAGGTCATCTTCAGCCTCATTTCAAATCAAAGGCTTGACAACCAAGCGCAGAACTGTAAAATGACCTACTGTAATCCGCTTTTAGTCTCAAATCATTAACAGGTATCGTTGAGATTTTGTTGTTTACCCGAGTGTAAAAATTCTAAAAAATTCTCATACGTCTTTTTAAAAAATTGGAGACTAATGTTCAAAATCAAACACTGGACACAAGTGTCTAAGATAAAAAAAAAGGACAATGGCGTCCAAAATCAAAACTCGGGCACAAAGGTCCGGAATGAATAAACATCGAAATAAATCCGAAAAAACATAAATCAATCCAAAGGAATCCGATGAAATTCATAAAACGATGGTCGGAGCTGAACCAGATTACACAAGTCGAGACGAGTCACAAGAGAGGTTGTGAGAGTCTCGCGATAGTGCGCCATTTTGAAAACCATGAGGATCTAAGGGAAGGTTTATAGACTTGTACGACACCATAACATAATGCTAACAGCCTAAATATAGACTACTTCATGTTTGATGCGCGTGTACGATTTTTATTAACGAGTCGAGAAGAATTGCAAACAAACGCACGCATGCCCGTACACACGCACGCACATATACACGTACGTACGCATTTACGCACGCACTTGCGCACGCACGTATGTACCCACATAAATACCCATGCACATCCCTACGCATATAAGTGCGCATATCTAGAAGTACTGCACAGTAGGCACAAAAAAGGACAAAAAATATTCGGACTAAAAGTCAAATATTGGACTCTAGTTTCCAGAATAAAAAATCAATCACTAGTGTCCAAAATCCAAATTCGGCCACTTGTATCCAAATAAACAAATGGGTCACAAGTGTCCAAAATCCAAAATCGGTCACTAATGTCCAAAATAAAAAATCGGCCACAAGTGTCCAAAATCCAAGATGACGATGCAATGCCGAAACGATTAAAATTTGAATTTAAGAATAACCACCAATCAACCCCGAAGTGTTTTGACGATAAACTATTAACGATGGCGATTGAATGAAGAAACGAAAGATATTTGAATTTTTGCTAAAACCTTGGCACCCAAAATATTTTTCTTACCTTGCTTTACAAGTTTTAAAATTTTTTACGACTTGACCTGTTCCTGTTTGTAAGTCCGGCCAAGCCATGGTCATTGGCCCCCGTAACTTTGGCTTATAAATACAGGTGTTTAATCATACTTGTAAAACTCCCTAAAGAAGTCTACGAAAGCTAGACGAAACGCGTTGTAGAATAAAGACGTTTTACAACTACTGTTCGCAGAAGTGCTGCTCATTAGTTTATATGCAGAAAATTAAGAAAAGAGTTGTCTTAGTTAAGCAAATGAGGCACCTATCAATTGTCCAGCTTTAATACACATGAAAGTTTTTAAGTGTAGAAATTACAGGGGGAACAACCACACGGACAGGTCATGTTGTGAAAGAAGTGACCGTCGTTAGCTTGATACGATAAAATATTTTGCACAGAAATAATTTATATTGCACTTTCTTTGATACCATGCTTAAAAACCTGTTTTTCCACAACGTTTTTTATTATTTTTAGTGAAACTTACAAGAACCAAAAACAACAAATTCAGCAAATGTTTTAGGCGGTCTCGAATGTCGAAATCTTCACAATTTCTCATAAAAAAGTTTAATGTCGAAAAAAATTATTCTCTTCGATCGCTATGAAATAAGCCCTAATAGATGTAAAGCATTCTGGTGACGATGACGATGCATTACCGAAGTGAAGGATGCCTGAAAACAATGACAATCACCAATCAACCTGTCAGCGAGTTATACGATCTATAGTAAATATCAAAGAGGCACTGCGCGGATACATGCAGTTGAAAATGAAACCTTTCTCCTGATTTCGTCACCACCTTACTTACCTT